TATTTTTACGGACACCAGTATTATCACAATTCTTATACAACTTCTCTTTTAGTCTTCTAAGTTTTTTCAGTTTCAAAGAAGAGATTCTGTCAAATCTCGAAAACAGTGTTTAATATGGACAGCAAATTTCCAAACAAAAATTCAGATAATCGGTTATATTAGAGACAGTAGCATCCAACTTATCGTCAGTAAATAGTTCCCAGTTGGTATCATACAACATGCTTCTTAGTGCTAGAATGTTGTCATGGGAATATGAACGTTCATGTATCTTCTTCGTTGAATGACTAAACAATTTTTGTTGTAAAATACGAATAATGAGGTGGTCAGAGATTAACAAAGGAGCTCTCCTTTGGATTTCATATACATCAGGTTCATTTATGAAAACCAGGTCTAGTGATTTCTCCAGACGTGTATTAAACTCGACTAGATTCTCGTGACCAAGTGAAGTAAGAAAGCTGTGATCACATGAATTAAAATCATTACAGACTATAAACAACGAGTTTCCGAATGCAGGAGCAGCGAATTCAGTAAATTCATCTGCAAACATAACTATATTAGAAAAGCTACAATTGGGTGTTATGTAAATATTTGTTATGTATATATAAGAATATTTACTTACACCTGACGGTTATGCAATCTATATTGTCATTAGAATAATTGAAGCAGACGTGATTTGATGTAGACCAACTTGTGTTTATAAAAGTGGCTACTCCTCCTCCACATTTTTTCTTAGAACTTTTTCTATCTTGGCGAAACACTTTATATCTATTTATTGAAACTAGATTATCATCATAATGCTGGTGCAGCCAAGTCTCTTGTATTGCTAAACCGCCAGCATTTCGATAAACATTAGAATACATTAGGGATTGAAGATAATCCATTTTGTTGGACAGGGATCTACAATTAGTGCTAACGAGTTCAGGAACAGTCATTTGATTAATTTGTGTACGTTTCAGTGCACGCTGCCATCCACAGTGATGTTTTTTCTCAATTTTTGTGGATGACACAACGCAGTAGGTTGTAATGATTTTAAAAATGCGCGATTATATATAATACGATTAGGACACATTATTGATAAATTAAAACAAAATTAAAAGAGCAAACCAAAGCAATTTTGTAAAATGTTGTAGGGTGGAATTTTTGGTAGCCCTATGTTCAAGCAGGCCGCAGAAGGGCAAAGTTTCATAGTCGTAGCTGCTTCACTTTTCTGTTTAACAGAAGGGGAGCTATTATCTGTAGACGTCTGAATTCCGTATATATCTGGTGCGAAAAATTTACTTACGTCTAAAGGGATAGCAACCTCTATGATGGCCAGACAGGTTTCAGCGACAACTGACACCCTTGCACAGCTACATATTTGACGTGGCGTCAGAACAGCAGTAAGTTTAGTGTTACCATAAGGTGTGGATGAACCAATAGGCTTGTTAAATCGCTAGAGTTTCTTGGAGTAATTAGAGTTACTGAATTTAAGCAGCGTAGGACACGTGAACTTTCTTGATGTTTACTAAACCTGATTAAGTGAAAATTTACTACTACAAGCTTAAAAACGTAGCTTTGGCTTTGTCCAGTGACTCACAGTCTGTCAGCCCGTATGCCAAAAAGTTGTAAGGGGACACGACTCGTTGAGTAACACCTTTTGCTACAAAGTCCAACATATAGAGTAATCAAACCCAACACGATAGGTAATTAACTAAATCCGAAAGGCAAACAGGTAGTAGTACATATTTGAACATCCATCCATATGTCGATCATGATGACAAATCCAAATCACTACCTATACAGCGCCAATAAACCTGGATATCTATGAAATAACGAAAATATGCTGACAGCTGCATCTCAGGTCCCACTGACTCATTCGATCGTAAAATTCTGCTCCTGCATGCCTCTTTCGACATTTTTGTATGGATTGGTTCGCAGTTACTCTAGTTCCAGACCGAAAGAATCAAAAATTCACTGGTTGCTGAAATATTACTACTTCTCTGCATGTTTAACTGGATACTAACTGCTGTGGTGAGCCTCTTGCAGATTATATTGCTTAAAACATCGTTTACGGTAAACTAACTAACGTTTTATAAGCCATTTTTATACTTTTGTGAGTAGCCCACCATATCGACCGAATGTAACGCAACACTCAGTTGTTTCGCTCATTTTCAACAAATTCAAAAAATAATGGTGCCTAGGATTATGCCATATATACTGTTTTAACTTATGCAGAGTGTATTTACCGTCAATAATCCATTATCTTCCTTATATATATATCTTGAGTTAGTGAAAAATTTTAAACATGTCTACTCCATGTGTGCATTATTATGATATTGATGATGCCTGGCAACTGGAGTCCCTCATGTGCATAAATTGAGAAAATATTGTTATAAGACGCATTTTATTGTTATATGAGGGAATTGACTTCAAGCTTTATTTATTTTCCCAAGTATCTGTAATCCATCCAACGCATACTTGGGTGTTTTTGTTAATGCGAAGTCAATATCTCTATATTTCTTGATGTGTTCCATTGAATCACCAGTTATCAGATTTTTCCCACAAGCTAAAGATAAAATGACAGCAACCATGTTATTTGACCGTAAATCATGTAATTTAAATATGTAACTTAAATAATACTTATCCATGCCTATACAATTGGTGTGTCTTACATTTGTAGGAATAAATATGTACCTTATTACATTATCATTACTAACTATACTTACTAATCGTATGTGTAATTTATCGAATTGATGATGCCTGTAAACTGGCGTCCCTCATGTACAAAAATGAGAATATATTATTATTATATTGTTACTTCCATAGGATATCTGAAACAGTTTCACGAGATAGGTCACAAAGGAGCAATAACGACTCAATAAAGTTGATTATCTCATTGAATTCTTCGAGAGAATTCGTCAGACGAATACGACCCAGTTTGTTTGGATCGATAGTCGTGTACAGCTCTGACAATTATACAAAAACAATGACGTCCGGGACGTTATTGGGGCTACGTGAAACGTGGATTTATGAGTATATCTTTTTATCCATATGGCCCAAGCTATGTTCGCGTGTAGAAAATATTCGTTTATTTCATTGGGTGATTATTGTATACAGAATAAAACCATTTCAGGTGAAACCTAGGTGAAAATGAGACCGGACAGACACATAAATAATATATCAAGTGGCTGCAAAGACTTAAGAATTACTGTCGGCGTGGTGGGGATCTGTATTGTTTATAAATAAACAGAAGATAGACAAGATTAACAAAGTGGAAAATAAAGATCACGGACAGCTTACTATCCAGAAGGTTAACTGTGATGTTGTCAAACGACAAAACAATTGATCTCTCTCCCCCCTTCATTTAGACTGGTCTCTATTCGTAGAGGATGATAAGCCTTGCAAAGAAGTCGACCCAACTTTGAGTTCTGATGGTGATATACCTGTATATTTTGAGGCCAAAGGAGCGACCAATACCAGTTATATTCGAGCAGCGGTCTAACACCCACTAAAACACCTCAGAAATCGATAAGAATAAGGTCAAGTTGTACGAAGAGACTGCGACATCCAACTGGTATCGCGTGCGATTTCGATCATCAAATACAAATACAATAAAATGCCACCAACATAAGCACAAATAGAAATAGTGGTGATCTAATTCGACAAAGGCAAAATAATACAGGTAACAAAAAGTAAAGTTATGGATAAAGAAAAATAAGTGATAGTCGGGAGTACCTAGTGCAAACGATTAGTTGCTCTATTGATATGCTATATTATACCAGATCGACTGAACGTAATGTGCCTAATTACCCACTTAATCAGTAAGCTGCATGGTCTGCGAATATCGGTAAGCTTCCAGGACTTATCCGGCTAGTATGATTAAACTACAAACTTGAACGATGTACGCGCTAACAGCGCGAACGAGAAGCATTATATGGAGTCACAGTCTGGGCTCACATGTACCTGTTGAAAGAAGCCTGAGACATTTAAAGGAAGCCTGGCGTTTATTTAGTTAACATTAAGACAATCCAGTATGATCCATTCATTTTATCCAGTCGAATGACGTAGCGTGCCAGGCCATCGTTCGAGTGGAACCCGAATGGGAAACGACGATTGGGTTGTCCGTGGGTGATATGTAGGAAATCGTGCGAGGATGAAACGACAGAACGCTGGAAATCGTGGGCCCGGCTAAACAGGACGGTATAAAATGGTACAAAGCAGAGATGGGCGGCTGAAGCGTGGCGCTGCCTTTAGAACCCAAGGGAACAATAATATCATAATAATTTTAGCCCTAGGTTTACTTTGGTGAATTGGACGGTGCATTACAGGTGCATCTGTTACTGTTCCTGCCAAATGGACGAACACCTAAAAGAGTTTTGATCAGCGTGGTCAAGTGGCTAATCCAGGCTGAGAAATTCAGCGTGCTTCTGGTCATAGTAAATGTGCATTTACTCTAGAACCTAAAAATCACCGAACATAATGGTTGATATGTTCACCTCTACATCCAAACTCGGTGACACTTCCCATGTTTTTTGTTCCCTAAGACTCTATCAGGGATCATACGGTGGTGGTACTTGCGATTTTGCGAAATTAAGTAGGTCCTGTATGATGTCGCTGTTCTATATGAAAGCTGAGTAATTATTCGACACTAGTAAACCTGAATTGTTCCTGATTCCGTCATTTTTACTGCAACCACAGTCAGTTCAACCGATAATCGTGACATAACGATCACAGATAACTTCAAAAATAGCCCACTAAACTCCACTGATTTTCTTTGGCTAGGGTTGTTTGCAGTTTTCGCAGTGCATGCAAGTCATTCGGGATCTTGTTCCAGTGTTAAGCTAAGGATGAGTTAGGATAAGCAGCAGCTTCACTAGATATATAAATTAAAAGATAAAGATAATTTTAAAAAATATAGGGTGAATTCATCCTACAGAAATCACGACATCATGAAGTCAGAGACAATATTCAGAAAGTATGTTGTTTAAGTGACTTTGAAAAGCTTGCTATTATAAACGTCCGTACTAGGCGGCTTTCATAGGTCTTCGAGCTGCGGTTTCGTTCCGCGTATTTTGACACGTTCTGGTATGTTGCATTTGTTTATTATCTTCAACTATTACATTTGTCGTGAATTATAACTTTAAAACAACTGTTTCGTTCCTACTGTCATACTTTTAATAAAAACTTTGTTCTCCATGCTTGCCAGTCACTATTCTTAGTCGTACTTTTCGTGAACATCGATAGTGGGTTAAAGGGGGGAGGCATTCCCATCAAGCAGTGAGAAAGTGGGGTATTTTTGGAATTCACAAAGCAAAAAGTGGGTGTAAATGTGCGAAAGTAGAAAATGGTTTGAAATATTGCTTTACACCCACGTTTCGTCCATTTCAACCGTTCATACTTGCCCACTTTAATTGTGTGTATTCTCCGACTTCGAAGCCTGCAATGCGGAAATAATGCTGGAGAATGCTAGAATAATAGGTTTTTCAATGTGGAAATTGCTTTTTATTTGGTGGTTAGTAGATAGCGTAACTACATCCCGTCTAAACCTACCAAGCCCACCTTAAGAACATATAACGTAGTATTGAAAACTAAAAGTAAGTTGTGACCTTTACTATAAGTAAACACCAAATGTTCATGCACCTGTTTTGATCGGTTCTACGCTATAGGATAATATAAGTAAACTGACATACTTCATTGGTAGTTTTGAAGTACTCAGTAAAATTTACAAATAATATTAAGTAATATTGGAGATGGAAAGAATACTAGTTTAGGGTTTTCACTTAAAAACATTTACTCCAATAAGTTATTCGCCTCATACTTATTTTTAAAAGGATTCAAGTTTGTAGAACTATAGTCCGCATCTTATGCAGTGAGACGATTAATAATAACCCAGTTTTGCGCATATTTTGCCAGTTTATTGGTGGATGGTTTACATGCTCTCAGTACATATATGTATATATATCTTATTTGGATTTGTGAATTACAATAAGTGTATCCATATAATGTACTAGTTCACATTTTAACTTTATACATGCGTATATGTATTTCAGTAAGTATATTTTGTCTTTTTCGTGTTTTAAATTACGACATGAATTAAGTGGATAAGTAACCTAACTTTCTACTCTCGAAATTCTTTTACCCCTTCAGTTTGATTCGATGGCTAGACGAATTCATGTGGATAAAGTCCCAAGGACACCCAAGGGAAAGAATTTGGATACCCGCAATATATCTTCTGATGAGATTGAATTCGATTCAGAGATAACCATAAAATCATCTCTAGTACGTGAGTGTGAACCTGAGAATGATTTGTTTAAAGAGGCTGAACCAAATGATGAAGACGATAATAAGTAAGCAATATCCTGTTGTACCATATTGTATCAGACCAAAGTTTGTTGCTCGTAAATCCATAGATCTCCGAAAAATACGTTCAGAAAAAGATAAATGGGAAGCCATCTGCTCCAGTCCTATGGTGGATTCTCGACCTCGAAGATTGAGTTATTCAAAATCTTTCAGTGAAGGTGTGTTAGATTCCAACGATCCTAAAACTCCTATGCGTTTACCTAAGTACAATGACCCTATTTCATCTACATCACGCCGACTGTCACGTATAGTAATCAATCGTCGGTTTTCCATGTTAGAAATGAACCGTAATCCTACATTTCCTGGAAAATCGAATTCAGATAACATAATGCCTGCTGATGAGTGCGAAATGCAAGATGTGGCGGAGAATTCATTCACTTCAGAAGAGTAAGTTTGCAAAATATTTTGTTTGAGTTAATTCTAGCATATGAAATTGTCCTGCGTAGACCTATGTACTACTAAACGAAACGTAGTTAGTAGTATTGTATATCTTAGGCTGATTACCTTAAAGAACTCTACAACCAGTTTCATAAAGTAGCAAACACACGCACCTCTATATAGTTTGCAACGAAATATCTTGCAATAGCATGACATTGCATGCATTGACATTTGAGAATCAGATATTCAATTCCTTTGGTTCTGTATACATGAAAGTAACTGCAGTGCTTAAAAGTACTATCTTTCAGAGATTGTATCCTAGGTGACAGTTTTTTGTTATGCATTCTGTCGGAAGCATTAAGATTCTATACCTTTTATTCTTTGAAGCCGACACGAAATATTCAAGTCTATAGAATTGAAGGTATAGTCTTTAAAATAATACTAATAATTGTTATAATTACATGCCAATCTAAATTGACTCCTATCATATCACTGCATCATATCAAATTCAACGAAATAACGTGATCATAACAACACTTGTTGGGCACTTTTAGGTAACCCTATAAAACGATGTGTACTTAATAACTTTCGATGGACATTTGTCACTTTTATTTATTTTAACTCCTAAATAGGTGGTGTTGTGTAAGCTGCAATCTGTGCTAATGCATTTTATTGATCGGTCTTGAATGGTGACGATGACAGTAACCTCCTATTCGTCAAACTAAGACGTTATATCATTGATTGTTAATTTCATTTGCATAGAAAGTTCTGTTGCTCTTGACTGCTTCAGTGAATAGGAATGCCGTTCGACAGAAATATATTCACTTGTTCTTCTTACACTCTTAATTGCCTGATTTTCTGATATTTATCTCCCGCCTACTCTATCCTCCTTTACTTTTGTTGGTTTATTTCTGTACTGTTGTGATAACTTGAAGCAAAAGACTCGCATATTATTCTGTTCCACTATGTATATTCTGTGCACACTTTTATCACCTTCTATGAGAAACAGTGTCTAACAGTAGTGGAGACGTGGGTCATTGGCTTAAGCACTCGACTTGCAGCCAGTGGATTTCGAGTTCGAATCCCTCTCCACCTACTTCAACCTGGGCGACTGGGTATTATCATCAGCCTTCATGCAATAAGTATGTCTCATAGCCTGGAAAATGAGAAATCTGTTGTGGGTAACTAAGTGTCTTACAGTAGCATGCAAGGAAATGATTATTATTATTATTTCCTTTAGTTCCTAGAGGAACAAGCTTCAGCCATGCGTCTCCATTGCTTTGCTAGTTCACCTGGCTCCAGTCTCCCACATGCTTTCATCTCCTATTCACATGATCTCCTCCAGGTCACCCTTGGACGACCAACTCGTCGCTTCCCTTTCGGGTTACACTCGAGGGCTTGTCTAGTGATGTCACATTCTGGTTTCCTCAGAGTGTGGCCAATCCATCTCCATTTCTTCCTGCCTATTTGTTTCACAATCGGTTCCTGGTTGGTTCGCTCCCAGAGATCTTTGTTGCTGATCCTTTCCGGCCATCTGATCTTGAGTATTGAGCGAAGACATCTGTTAATGAAGGTCTGTAGCTTGTTTGAGGTGCTTTTCGTGACACGCCAAGTCTCTGATCCGTATAGTAGTACTGACTTCACATTAATCGATTTTTTTGTTGATCTAATTTCTCTATCGCCTGTAGTTGAATTTCGTAGGTAAAGGAGGTAGTTTCTTTCAGGTTCTTTCCATTTATGCTGATTGCTGTCTGTTGTTGTTGGTGGTGGTGTTGGCCAGGGATCTTCATCACCTCCGTTTTCTCTATGTTCACCTGGAGTCCTATCTTTGATGCTTCTTCTGCCAACTTGTTACTTTTCACTTGCATATCTTCCAGTTTGTGGGAAATCAGGCATATATCATCGGCGAAGTCTAGATCCTCCAAGTTCTTTGTGTGAGTCCATTTTATGCCTGTTTCCTCATTGCCCGCTGTTTGTCGCATTATCCAATCTACCGCAATCAGGAAAATCATTGGCGATAGTAGGCAACCCTGTCTTACTCCTGTCTTCACTTCGAAGGATTCCGTGAGCTTCCCGTTGTGGATTACTTGGCATGCAGCGTTGTCATACAACTGTTGGATGAGATGTATAATTGTCGGTGGCACCCCGTAGTAGCGAAGTAGTTGCCAAATCACCTCTCGATCGACGCTGTCGAAGGCCTTTTCAAAGTCGATGAAGTTGAGATAGAGAGGTGACTGCCATTCCAAACTTTGTTCAATGATGATCCGTAGTGTGGCGATTTGATCAATACATGACTTGTTTCTCCTGAATCCAGCTTGTTCTGGTCGAAGTTTTTCATCCAGGGCTTGTTTGATCCTTTCCAGGATGATGCGGCTTAGTATTTTGCTTGGGATGGACAGGAGCATAATTCCGCGCCAGTTGCCAAGGAAATGATAGTTAGTCCCCAAAGTGCAGGTGTTTCCAAATGTTTTGGTCTTCATTCCAAGTATTAATTTTATACTTTTACAGAGTTTGGAGGGATATATCATGTTTCTGGTTATTTTCTGCCACTAAGGTTAAACCTGACTCGAAATTTGTTATCAATTTCAACCAACTGTAGGTTAAGGAATCTGTAAAACAGGTAGATCAGGGATCATGATAAATTTAATCGTCCTAAGTGGTTATAATTCTGTTATCACACAGCATTATTGAACTAGTAGAATTTTCTCTGGAAAACTTAGCACTGCAACTGTAGAAATCCTGATCGCATATTATTAAAGCGTTTATCTTAGATTGCACATGTGATACTTTCTAGCTAAATAGATTTCGGCAATAAATGTAGTTGAGATCCAGTTCTGTGAAACCTTTTAAGATTTCAGTAATTGCATAATTTAGATTAATGGCTAAAGAAGACTCATGCATTATTCGTTTGTCTCAGCTCCTAGAGTCCGTGTGCATCACTAGTTTAGAGTCAGCATTCACATCCAGATTCCCACATTATGAGATTCACTTTTCGAATAATAATGAGAAGAAGAAAATGTGGTTAATGTGGTATCTGTGTTGATTGCATTACTTGAACTATCAAGACTTTTTAACAAGAAATAGATAAGGTAGCGGAGAACTCAAGGTTTACCGGTGTAGGGTTGTTTTATTAGACAAATCCCATACAACCTAACATTGGGAATCCGATTTATACAAGCTATTTGTGTTCTTCCTGCTGTCCTTCCCTTCGTCTTCTTCCACTTTATTTCATCCTCTCTATATCGATTACCAGTTTTATCTACTTAATCCGTCTCTCTCTTCGTTTTCAAAACGTTTGGAAAAAGCATGGCACTGTATATTTCATTGCTTTGCATTCCGAGTGGAACGTGCGGCTTTAAGCTTCAAAGTTTCTGTAGCAGTGGTGTTACTTCAGTGGGTGAGGTTGCTAGCCTCACGCCCAGCCTCCCCTCTTTTCTGGGCTTACTACCAGGTAAGTGAGGTTTAAAAATGCGTTTGTCGAGGACTGAACACCGGGCCACATGCGTGGCTGTCCAGGATTCTACCACGTTGTATCCTATTTACAAATTCTTAGCAGTTTCTTACATCATAATAATAGAGAGAATTCTTGATTTGTTGAGTAAGCTTCCAACTGATGGAGATACTTGTTGCTTGATCTTTTATTCGAAATACATAAATACCAAAACAAAATCAGAAAAAGATATTAAGAATTACTGGTTGAAATCACCGAAAATACCCATTGAGTCATGAAGAAAATAAAAGACAGATTCAGCGAAGAAAATTTTCTTTATCGACGAAATCATCTTCAGAGGCTGTACAGTCGTATTTATACTTACAAAAATATATAGTGGTCTATTATTGAGTAATAGGGGGTGACATAATTGATATAATTACTCAGAAGTGGCTTTAAAAGTTGTAAATTACGTGGTACTCAACGGCACAAAGATAGAAATTTGATGAGGTTAAAATTGCTATTGAGTGAGAATAAAGGTATTTGAGTGTCAATTTAACAAGTGTGAAGAGGGTGTGAAAATATACAAAAGGAACATATGAGAGTGATAATAGTGAATTAATTATTAAAGCAAAAGCAAAATTAAAATGAAAAGAAAAAATCAAAATTTTTTATTTACAAGGAACGATTAGTGAAGAGGTTAAGACCAAGGTAGAATAATAGACTGGACAAACTTTTTCTGGATACAGAATTCAGAGTTGTATTGATGAATTGCCAACGCCTCCGCCATACACAAAAGCCGAAACCTGACACCCTTTGTACCATTTGGCTTCACTTGGTTTACTGGTTGAGTAAAGTTGAATTGTTTCAGTAGTCTTCCTTCTAAATATCACCTAGAATGGATGTAATGTTTTTTTTGGCGTGGAAGTATTCACAGCACAATGAATACCAGTGGTTACAAGCAGCTCTATTAACTACTTTAACTGTATGCTTTCTGAAAACTAATTCTATCGCGAGTGTTTTTGTTAAGAATGAACATACATCTTGAAAATAAAGATAGTCTGTTCTCTGTGTGAATGGAGTCAATAACGTACCTTCAAAATTCGACATTCCAGTAGGGATGATTCATTGAATATTCAGACGAATGAAGGTATTTCATTATCATTAGTGTATACAAGAAGCTGTTTGAATAGTCTTGGCCTTTCGCTTTACCAGTCACCTTTAAAAAAAATACCTCTCAAATATCTTGAAACGCATGTTTTACACTTCAGTGTCAGTATGTTACAGTATTTTGAATATTTCTTAATCACTATTCTTATATAGCAAGGAGAATATTCAACCATCAGAGAAAATTGCCTCACCTTCTTCTAACGAAGTAAACAATGAAACTCTAAACATGTCTACAGTTGATCCTAACTCAGTCTCTGAATTCCGTATGCTTGCGGATATGGAAACATCTCGACTACTCGCATTATGCGGGGATTGGAATTGTGTACTATCTGAAGAAGGCGAAAATATGCCAGAACAGGGTAAGACTAAGAAGCACTGATACCCTATTTTACTATCTTTCTCGATAACTTATTTATAATTGCATTGATATTCCTAAGTACATGACATTCTTTAATAAACATGTCTTACAGATACTAGTGCCAGACTAAATGAAGTAGTGAAACACCAAAGTGCATTACAAAATTGTTTCGATGACAAACACAAGTCCCTTGGTCGCATGCCAAATACTATTTGTATTATATAATTGCAACATGATGATGAAAAGTTATCGCTATTTATCTGCCTAGAATCCTTCTTTGTTCTCTGAACTGACTTAAACTCACGGAACTGAAGTTAGAAATAGGTATTAATGATGTCTCATATGCAGCTCTTAATCTATCTGCAATATACATTAAAATCCCCCACCACAGAATAGTGCCAACTTAACACACACTGAGTATTAGTAACCAACAAAACCTTCAGCCTTATTGCAATTGCTATTGGCAAGCTAGTGCCAATAATATATCCCGTCAAGTTGCATTTGAGAACAATTTTCTGTTGATTGACTGACTGTCGAATCAACGTAGAACTCTTGACTAAACTTTATTAGCTCAAGTTACTGCATTTCGAAAAAGCACACACAGAGGGATAGCTTTACGATAGTGCGGCGGGGTAACATGAGCGTAAAGAATAAAATAATTAAATGAAGATTAGTAAGGCATTTTAGAATCTGAAAAATCATAAATAGTGAGTACGTCTGCGGACGATTTCGAACCACATCATCACATATTCGCCAACCATTGATTCGTAACATTCCGAGGACCCTAACCTGGCAGTCGATACCTCCCTGCATACTTAAAGTCAATAGCCAAAGATTCCGTGGATGGTGACATGTTTTAATCTGACCAACCATCTTTTCCCGTAAACTTTATATTAGGGTAAACATTATTTAGGAGATTTAATATTTGCTATATATCATTGAAACAATCACAAATGACAAACATATCATTGAGATATCCGGTATATTAGTCTGTCTGATTTCGAACGTCATTCTTATTTTCTCCAAGTTGCCTATAGAAATGTCCGTCAGGATCGAATCCTTTCACACAACCTGTACTCTCTGTTAGTTTGAAAAAAGAAACGACTAACATATTTGTAGGATTTTACGAGCTCTTTTTACTCTGTGGATTCTCTTCAACTGAGTACATCCTAGACAAAATCAAATTATAAGTTAAAAAAATGTTTGAACGTACTTCGGATTATAGATAGACAGTATAGGCATCATATTTGAAATGATATTGCTTACATATTCTACCTAGTTTGAAGAATCGGATCCAATGGATTACCCATAGCGAACCCACCAATCTCTTGGTTCATAACATTGTTGAATTAAGACTGTTGTTTGTCTATGGTGCACATTAGTAGTAGGAGCTGTTCGAGTTCGCTTTATAGCAGAGGAAAAAAGTTAGAATATTGAAATGTAATTTATGTAGTTTGTTCCAGTGGGATCTTTGTGAATAAGGATGACACATCTAACAAAACCATTAGTTTGTTTTGAAGGTGTTCAAATTCTCTAACATTTTAAAGGACTGAAAGATATCTTTTAGGCTGTGAGCAGATAACTTTGCACGAATTGACTATAGCCACATTTTTCTAGACACTAGGTTACTTTTTGACAGTGAATTGACCACATAGGTATGTCGGGTTCATGCCATAATTAGAAGTAGCTATAACTGGAATTAAACTCACAACTGCCTGCATAAAAGATGGTTTCTTAATATTAGATAGTTGGAGGCAATCGGCAGGAAGCCTTGGACCTAGGTTTCGTGCTAGTTGGCACTCATCAGCAAGGCGTATCTGCAACCCTGAAGGAACTAATGTCCCTTCTGAGATTCGAACCCGCGTCACCCAGTGCTACCTGCAGTCAGAGACGTTACCACTGAGCTATTCGGGCTCGCGATTGACCTCCTGTAGGACTGTAGTGGGTATTTTGATTGGACACTAGTAACTAGTGTGACGTATCTAGTCCTTCTTTGGTGCAGACTGAATTCTATCAGTCAGGTATTTGCCTCCAACTATCTAATATCAAATCAATGTGCACCGTGATGGCGAGCTACCTAGAATGGTGGCCACATTGCAAATACCTGACTGATAGAATTCAGTCTGCACCAAAGAAGGACTAGATACGTCACACTAGTTACTAGTGTCCAATCAAAATATGGTTTCTTAAGTTACACACTTCCACAAAAAATGATTGACCGTTGTCATATGTCTTGGTAACTACAGTCTTTCTTCTGAAACACTTGTCTAACTTATTAACCTTGTGTTCAACTGATATGGTTTTATCCAATAACGTTAATGAATTTAGTAAATCAAAACAAGATTTATATATTTCATCCACATTATTATCAATTATATTTTCCCCCTCTGTATATAGCACGCGATTCTGTTAGAGCAGCCGTAGGAAAGTGTGAACTTTTGTTACAGAAAAAATTACCATTTTTTAAAAGTTTAATTGAAATGGCCGAGAAAAGTGACATTGATGATAACGACACACCAAAAACGGATTTAAACGATCTTCTTGGCTATTGGACTTTAGTATCTAATGAAATTCGTCTATCTGATAGTGCTTTTGAACGTCTGCGTGTTTGGCGTGAAGAATGTAACTGGTCAGTGGAGCAGTATCCTGTTACTCCAGCTAGATCGCAAATTATTAAACGTCGTGGTCGTCCACCAAAACACGTAAAAGATACAACGACAATAACAACACCTCCAAAGAGAGGTAAACTGAAAAATTCTCAACCTGTTAACAGTGAACTTGTCAACGCGAATGAAGTAGAGAATGCGTCAACTTCTTCAAAATCAGACTCAGTTGTTACAAAATCACCTAAGGTAAGGTAATGAATGATATTCAGTTGATATTCTGCATTAAAATTGCTTACAGGTTTGGTCATTAGTTGATATCAGTTAGAGAACCATTGGATCGGTTCCCAGTGGTTGAATGGTCTACTAGCTCACCTTGTTCGAACCCAAGTGGGTGCGTACTGCTGAAGAGTCCCGAGCTAACACTGAACAGCTGCTCAGTTCTTGCAGGTCTTTCAGTGGTTCTCTAACCGATGTCAGCTTGTGATAGTGTGTGTTGTTATCAGAGCTGTTCGTATCAAAATAGCACTGCAGGTTTTATGAATAAGTAAAGTTGAATTGTTGTGAATTTTTTTAAAATTTTGTTCGATAGATCATGGATATTGTTACTGAAAACATTTGTACTAAACTTTTGATTCTTTTCCTTGTTATAATAAAACAAAAACTGTCTTATTTGAAATAGTTCACAGTAATGAATCTCTCATTGTCAGTTAATACTGACGATATTTCACCATAAATCAATTACCCACTTGGTCCGAGTTCAGTTCCCAGCCGATGCACTTTTAAATCTCATCTAGTTAACTAGCCGGTAGTAAACTCGGAAAAGATGTTGGGGGATGGGTTCGGGCTTTGAAGTTAGCAACCTCCCCCCAACTCGTAAAAGCAAATCAACACTGTCTCTATTGAATTTTTAAAGCTTAAGGCTTGATAACCTGCTTTCTATTCAGAACACTCAGGGAGTAAAAATAAGAGACCACAACTGACGGTTATTAAAACAAAAACTTGCTACATCATGGGCATCAAGAAAAATGCGCCCCAAAAAATCTCATGGTTTATGCGAAGGCTACGATACTTCCCAGACTGCCCAGACTGAAGTACTTGGTTATATTAAAGGGGTTACTTCTCCTGAGCCTTTGACTTTAAGTTTGATCCACAAGGTAGTGGAGCAGCGTCAGGAGTTGCGTTCCTATGATTGACAGTGATCCTTTCGGATTCTGGAGCCCATGTACATCATAGGTTTGGAATCAGGGATTTCCAGATCCCTTAGTTAGACCTGAATGTCCATCAGTCCGGTTGTAAGCTCAAGACTTACGTATTCACCTCTTCAATTTTATGAGGAGCACCCGCCGCGTAAAGACAGTGAATAGGACTTACTTGACAGAGTCTGTGAACACACGGCCACATGAGGATTTCGAGGCAAAGACGGAAGTCTACCCACCCTCGGTTGCACCGGGTGGTTTGTGACGGCTGCTATAGGAATATTTTTTCAACTACATCACTGAACTGAACACAGCAAAATCCTAATAATCTTGTGATACAATTATTATTATTACTTAGTGTTAGAACTGAAGAATAATACTATATTCAATCTCCCATTATCATGTTTCGCCTTACCCCAAGTGTGTGTATTACATCTTAATCATGATAGATATTTATAGTAGGTTATATAATCACTTTATAAAGTTTTTGGGTTTGTGGAAGTTTACTAATCATTGGATACCTGCTTGTTATGATATTAACAGTGTGAAAGCGAGATTCTCATGAGACACACGTTACTTCTACGTTTGTAGTGAAATCGAAGGATTGTGAGTTGTAATCATCCAATAAGACGCAAGAAAATATCTCAGTTATATTTACTCACTGAACCAGTACATTCGATGTAAAGTGTGAAAATAGATCGATAGCAGAACCAACCAGAAATACCAACAACAGCACGTACACAACTGCAAGTTGACACCAATCCTCCAACGAAAGCTGAAGTCTTGAATGCAATCAAGCTCCTGAAAGCTGGAAAAGCAGCTGGACCAGATGGAATACCTCCGGAAGCACTGAAAGCGGACCCAGAGACGACAGCAGATATGCTGACTCCATTATTGCAAAAGATCTGGAAGGAGGGAAAGGTGCCTACTGACTGGAGGAAAGGTTACCTAGTGAAACTACCAAAGAAGGGCGACTTAGGACTCTGCAAGAACTGGCGAGGAATCATGCTCCTGTCGACGCCAAGTAAAATTCTGAGTCGCATCATCCTGGAGAGAATAAAGGACGCACTGGATACAGAACTCCGTCCAGAACAAGCTGGATTCAGGAAAGGCAAATCATGTTCTGACCAAATTGCAACTCTACGCATTATCATCGAACAAAGCATGGAATGGCAATCAAACCTCTACCTCAACTTTATAGACTTTGAGAAGGCCTTCGACAGCGTTGACCGCGAAGTAATTTGGAAACTACTCGAGTACTACGGCGTACCCCAAGTATTCACCAACCTTATTCAACAGCTGTATGACAACGGCACATGTCAAGTGATCCACAACGGAAAACTCAGCGAGGCGTTTGGAGTAAACACAGGAGTCAGACAAGGGTGCTTATTATCACCAATGATATTCCTAATTGTGGTGGACTGGATTATGCGTCAGACAGTGGGGAACGAGATGACAGGGATATCCTGGACCAACGTGAAGAACCTAGAAGACCTGGATTTCGCGTGTGGATGATTTATGTTTGATGTCACACAAAATCGAAGACCTACAAGCGAAAACCGACAAACTGGTCGAAGAAGCAGCTGGAGAAGACAGGACTCCAGGTGAACATAGACAAGACGGAGGTTATGAAAATAACCAACCAACAACAGCAGCAGCAACATCCAGTGCCAATCACCATCAACGGGAGGGATTTGAAAGAGGTTACTTCTTTCACTTATCTAGGGAGCATTGTCTCAACCACAGGAGGAACGGACGAGGATGTCAAATCGAGAATCGGGAAGGCGAGAAACACATTCATCAACCTGAAACCAATCTGGAAATCTTCGTCTTGGAACTCTTGAACAGCACTCATCCATGACCCCTTCGGTGATCGAACCCACAGCTATCAGGTTATAAGGCGAACCAGTTGACCGCTGATGAATGGTCACGTGGTTAGCCTACTTTTTGTCTAAGAAAAATCATTCGTTATGATAAACTTCTATCCTTACACTTAATAAATGTCATCAATCCTGCTGTATGCGCCTAGTGTTTAACAATAAGCCTGTAAGCCTCGGTTTTTTTGTCGAATATATATTTATAGAAAGTGTCCAGGATCTCACAGCGATTCAGAAATATGATCAGTACTGCGAACAAAGGGGTAAGAGTAAATTGAATTGATTATTCTCGATCGTGTTTTTTGTTTTTGTGGACTGGTATTATTTATGAATCATCGTTCTCCTGACCAGTTTTAACAAAGAAAATTATTAGTATTCCGATGTTATTAGTTGTTGTTAGTAAAGAATGACACCTGATAGTAGTAGTAGTAGTACGTAGAATAGTACACCTGATCAGCTAGCAAGCTTTTAAAACCAGTCCAAGTTACCACACTCCATGTAACATACACAAAGGCAGAGAAAGGAAAGCAAAACGAAATTCATAAAAAAACAACCTGCAACCATAGGGAGGAAAAGTAATTTGAATAAACATAAAGACTTAATGCGCCACTGAGAACAGTTTTGAGCCATTGAGAGCAGAAGACATGAAAAGATTAGCTATGTTCGATCATAAGTGTCTGCGTTCTATCTCCCGCGTGAAGTGGTAAAATAAGGTGAGCAATATTGAGGTTAAGCGTCGAGTGCTAGGTAAGGAGGGGAAATCAATAGACGAGACTGTGAAATTACATCGACTGAGATGGTTAGGACATGTGTTACGTATGCCTAGTCATCGGCTTCCTCGACGGGCAATGTTAGCTGATATAAGGCCAGGCTGGAAAAGAGCTAGCGGCGGTCAAACGAAAACACGACACCAGTCAATGAAATCTACAACAGTTACTCTAAGCCACATAGGAAGGTGTAGACTTCCTCGTTGGGGTCCTCGGGAGGGTAAAAACCAATCGTTGGAAACAATTGGTGACATGGCTCAAAATCGTTCTCAGTGGCACAGATGCATCCACTCCTTGTGACTTATGATTTCCAATTAAACTGTTTTGTTCTCACACCTCTGTTTACTGACTATATTATGCATTTCTTCTACTTTCTTCTCTTGCTTTGTGTGCTACATGGAGTGTGGCGACTTGAACTGCCCCATATATGTGCAAAGTTCTATGTCGAAAACCGACCGACCGACCGTTTTGAGCCATATCACCAACAGTTTCAAGTCACTGGTTTTTAGCGTCTAGACGACTTTCTCTACATGTCTCAAACCAACTGCCAAGAACTCCACAGATTGACACCTTGATTTTGATATGACCCTGCTTAACTCTTTTTCCAACATAATGTAACATCAGTTGGGGAGGAATTTGATGGTTCTACAGGTGTAACACGTGTCCTAGCCATCCTCATCGATTGACTTCCCTTACTTACCTAACACCCAACATCCAAGGATTGTAGAATGCTATGACATATCAGCGACTACTGAACAATGTTTTTTGTCATAGCTAGTTCTGTAACTAATATTTATTTGCTAGTAATAGAGGTGACACGTAATAAGTCAGAATCTACTATTGTGTATGTGTTTATTATATGCTTAAATCTATATTCAATTATTATTATTTTGTATCTTTGTTACACTTACCTATAAAGCTGAAGAGTACACAGAAAAAGACAGTGAAGTCTAGATTTGCTCAGTTTTTAGAAGCTAAAAGAGCAGAAGCTGCTTCAGGTATGCATATTAGTAAATTATATTTTGAATGATTTGTATTTCATTTCTACTTTTCAATTTTCACTAACTAACACTTTCTTAATATGTGTATTGTATAATTTTTACTAGCTTATAACAGTTGTTTGGACTCAGTTGGCCGGAACAGATGTTTCATGTGTGTCAGGCTAAGAGCTACACTTATTATGTGTGAGCTTAATGACACTACGTAGTTGTTTAGACTGAAATTGGTGGAGTGGGATACAAACGCGGGCTTTTAAGCTAAAATAAGCCACATCTTCACAGTATTCGCGTTATACACTGTAATTATTAATTGTTATAACTAAGTGACAGGATTTATGGTCACTAAGTGATTTATATATGCCTAATCAAAGTCTATAAAATGAATGATTCATGTTGAGGAAATATTATTGTGGTAAGTAGGTAAGTCTTCCATGGTACACCATTAGGCTACGTGACACGCTTATTGTTTGTGTATGTATCAGGGCTGATGATAACACTGCCTGATTGCGCCTAGGCTGAAGTAGATGGAGCCGGATTCGGACCTGGAACCCACTGACTGGAAAGTCAAGAGCTTATCAATGAGTCACTGAGTAACGTCTCTATATTGTGTAACAGATTGCCTGATCTCTATTGTAAGTATAATAATGTGATATTAATATATTGATATGTAAGTGATATACTTCATTATAAGCTACAAATTATCTCAAAGAAAATAAATGTTTTCCTGGGCAATTAAAAAAATTTTTTCGATGAAGTAAGCTCCTGCTCCATCGGAAGGGGCTTCGATGAATCAACGGGCAAGTTAATTTCATGTGTTGGTTTGCAGGGATTTCATCGATTGTGAACTGACTCCAGTTAGAGAACCATTGAAAACTGAAATATAGTACTGGACGGCTGCTTCGTCCTGTTAGGGAGTCTTCACAGTATGCCTCCCGTGACTACCAGGAATTGAACCCAGGACCTGCAGGTTACAAGGCGATCTCCTTAACCATCCAGCCTTGGGGACGGAATCCAATGGCCCATTAATTCTAACTTCTGCCAATTCGCGTCCCAGTGGCTACATGTTCAACGAACTCGTCTTGTAACCAGCTGAGGGTCCTGGGTTCGATCACTAATGGGGTCCATAGCTCCGGTACTCTCTAGTTTTCAATGGTTCTCTGACTGAAGTTAATTTGTGGTCAATCTTGAAATAAATTTCATCCTTAAAATCAGATATTTCCAAATTCAACGAAGTGACCGACACCTTAAATGTTATGTGAAAAACAGGGTTCAACAATTACTGTATTCAAGACATCATGATTATTAAACCCCTAAGGAAGTTTGAGAAGACACTGCTGAAGTCTTCGGTAAAATAACGACTGAGTCAAGATTTCTCTACTGATCTCGAATGATATATATTCAATCTGGCCAATAATTAATTGCAGCTTTTCATCTTGACTCTTAACTCATCATACAACTAGAATTATGTAAAAACACCAACAACAATAATGAGTAATACACTGCTGAGGGTTCCTAAAAGTGAATGTGTCTACCCATATATGACCAGTCGACATTCTCCTCTGATATTAGTAAGTAATTCTTAGAATACTTACCTACATTATCATCATCATATCATCAAATATTGCATTGATAAAACTTTTGTTTTAGCACTGACACATTTGTCAGCTAATTTTTAAACTTACATACTGCAGATACGTTTCCCGATAAGCGCAAAACCTAAATTCAGAGCCCTTTCTCCGATTCACTCCTACTGACACATCATATATGATTCAAACTGTAAAACAGTTTGGTGGATGGTGACTGAAAGTTGAGTCTAGGATGCGTACTTCGTCCTACTTGGGAATCGTCAGTTTGGATGTATCTGCACACCCCAGTGAGTGATGCCTGTCCCCATTGACACTCGAGCCCAGTTCCTATTGTTTCAAACACCAACGCGTTATCTACCAGACCATTTTGGCTACGTGTAAGCCAGTTCTAGTCACTATTCACCAAATTACTTCAAGTTTATCCTCAGACATCGTCAAAGTGTCCGCACTAGAAGCCGCCGACATTTCAACAGAGATCAAACATTTCGGTCCAATCAATTAACGAGAAAATCAGAATTGAATTAAACACAAGTAATAATTATCATCAGTGTTCTTGAGATCTGGTGTAGATTATATTGTGAATTTTTGTTCCCTCCCCCCTTTCACACACTCTCCTCTTTTTCTCTTTATCTCCACTGTTTAGCTGCGACTGAGAAAAATCCGTCTCCTCCTAAAACTATCATTGATGTGCTTTCTCCACTTGGTTTACGCCCCGTCAGTGAAGTTCGTAAGGATAAAACTAATAACAATAAGTAATCAGTTACAAGATGAAGTAGTGGAACAACTGAGAGAAAAGAATCACAACAATATACTTCAGTTCTCCACCGTTTAATCAATAATTTTGTGTACTTATTCGTTTATAATGCTTACTGAACTCGACTATATCACATTATTACTATGATTATCATTGTTCTTACAAACATGTATGTATTGTTTTGATATGTGGACAGTAACTCTGATAGCTTTATTCTTCAACAAACGTAATGCCAAAAGTTTATGCTTATTTTTTTCTGTGTATGTCTGTCTATGTGTCTATTCATAACTTTATCTTTTTGCTGTTAACAGATAATTTATTGAATATCTTTTTACAGACGTATACATCAATACATTACTTATCATCTATAAGCTTCTTTTCTCATTTCATTTTGCCCGTTACGTGTAGATAGGGAGTAGGGTGATAGAGTGTGTTGACCACTTCTTTACTTATATAGTAGGTTGCATCAACCCTAATGGACTGATTGTGTTGACGAAATGTCAGCATTGATAAAAAAGACTCATGTGGTTGATATGTACCAGCTTATGTCATATCCGGCCAAAGGATTTGTGTACTGAGCAGTTGCTCGTTCTGTCCTCCGTTACGGCTGTGAAACATGGCCATTCAAAGTGTAAGACGTGTAGAGGTTAGCTGTCTTTGACAACAGGTGCTTGCATTCTACCTCCCATGTTAAGTGGTATGACACTGGGAGCAATAGTGAGGTTAAACTTAGAGTGTGTTAGGTTAGTAAGGTAAGTGAATCGATGAGGTTGTGAAGATGAACCGATTGGGATGGATGGATAGGACACGTACATGTTGCGCATGCCGAACCACCACCCTCTTCGACGAGCAGTATTAGCTGGCAATAGGATTTCAGTTGAAGAAGAGTTAGGAGTCTTCAAACCAGAATATGACATCAACCCATGAACTCTGGTTGGTCTGAGCTAGTAGGTACCCAGGGAGGTGTAGACTGTTTGGTTGGAGTCCTGGGTATGCTAAGAAGCAATGGCTGGAGACTGTTGGTGAAATTGCTCATCGGCGCAGATGTACTCATCTCCCATATCCTTTATATTCTTATGATTTAGCATGTTAGTATTGTCTCCGACACATTTCTGCTTCGAATTTGAATTCCTGTTTTGCCTTTTCTCCATCTTTGTGTGCTACATGGAGTGTAGCAACTTGAACAACTGCACTTCTTTGCAAAGTTCTATGTCGAAAGTCAGTCTGTAGGTAGATATGCAATATGTATATGCAATACCACATTTTGCCTATTTGACGATGAATTGTCTTCAATGCGGGCTTCAACTTATCAACTGTGTTGTTATGTTACCGAATGAATTCAATTACTGTTGCATCATCGTCTGAGTGTGGTAGGCATGCAGAAAGCCCGTGAAAAATGAGTCATATCTTTAGGGTTCTGAATTTCGAAAGAAAAACACAAGTTAGAAGACGTAATTTATCTCACATGTATAGTTTATTTTTGTAACAGATTTTGGACAGTCTGGTCACACACACACATATACTTGTGGTACATTACATTTGTCTTAACAGACTAAAGAAGGTCAAAGTTCAATATTTACTTAAGGGTGAAAGTGTCAGACAAGAGACAGGACAAAAATGTTTTCGTGAGTAGCTTATAGCAAAACACTAACTAGCTAGCTAGTCAGCCAGTCACCAACAAACAAGGTGGAAAGATTGCGTAACAACATACGAGAAAGCGTTTAGAAGTGATTGGAAATCATTGAAGTGAGTTGTGATCAGTATGTCAAAAGGATAATTTAAAAAAAAACAATGTAGGAGACAGAATACACAATTACGGAATAGATGAGATAATATTGATTAGGGTAGATTGAGATTAATCACCGATTGTTTTTGCATAAACAGGTTGTTGGGGGTGGGGGTGGGTGGGTTTAAGTGATTTGATGACAATAGATTCAACAAAGTGAAACATAGTTAGATTTTGTGACTAGAACTTTAACGCATAAAAGTGTTATCGAAACAATAGTGAGCTTCGTATCTAAATTACTAAGTTGTATTTTCAAATGCGACACAATCTATGTCCTAGATTCAACTTACTGGTAAATTGTCGACTGTGTGTAATTCAGGTATTCCGAAAATATCACTTACATTTGTCCGCTTACTAAACTGTGAACACATTTGTCTAATTAACCCACCAGATAATATCATGTGTAGATGTTTAATCCTAAGTCCTAATTCATCAGGTGTATAGTGTAGTCCCTATAGTAAGTATCACGACACTGAGGCACTGTAATAGAGAAGATATGTAACTCGGATGGATGATTCTAATGTGGTTGCGTTCTCTCAGGTGGGTGATTGAATTGTGAAGCTTTCGTTATCCTTCATCTAGGCAACATCTTCCGCTCAAGTTTCAATATGATGAGGTGAACTTCCTGAATTATCTTCACGAACATCATTTGCTTTATTCTTTATTAGTTGGTAAATCTTATCTACAGTTCATTTGTCTATTAATCTCTGATTCAACTGATTACCATGCATTTTTGGTGTTTCCATTGTTAAAAGTTCCTACAATTTCTCAGTCGAATTGGTGTCCAAAGTTGTCTACATGCATTGATATGACAGCTACACTTTATGTTCTTCGACTCGGAGTTGAGGCGGGCACCCACAATGACCAATCAATATAGTGCTTTTCACAGTTCATACGATTTGCTTTTTACATGGTGTTCATCTTGTCTTCTTTTGTTGTTGGATCTTTTTGGTCTACACAGTACTGGATGAAGTGATTGTGTTGGTTTGTGTGGTATATCATTTTCCGAATAGTATTAACCTTCTAACTGTCATTTCAGAAACATTCTTTATGTAAATGGCAGGATGAATTTCCTTGTAGTCTGTGAGGATGGTTTCTTAGTGGTATTTAGGTAAAATGTATCACTCATCTATCAGTAATTAAATGTTTGATCTTGACTCTACAATTGTGAGAAAAATTCACATTTCCACAGCTTTGGAATAACACAAACTTTTACAATTTAAAAGCATCCTTAAATACCCAAAAGTGTTTTTCCTGAAATAGGATTATTATCACTGTTATTCCTCCATATATTTTTAAAATGTCAAGATTAACTCTTATTATAAATACACCAATGAAGCTTCGTGTGTTTGAAATTTACTGTTACTGATATGCTATAAAAGTAGTTGTTTCACCATAAACAGGAGAAATCTAGAGGAATTCGTCGCTTCCACACTTATCTGACATAGTTAGCATAGTTTCAACGACATGTGGTGACACAGATGACAATCAGATGACAATGTCGAAACGAGCCAGGATCAGGAAAGCAAGACAGATGTTCATTACTCTGTGAAATCAGTGTAGGCATCCAGGGCACAAGCAACAACATCCGAATTTCCAACACTAAAATGTCAATGAGATCAGTGCTTCTGTATATATTTTCTAGAGACTCGGCGTGATGAGCGTTACCAAAAGCACTCCCACCAGGCTGCTCTAAATATTCATCAACAGCTGTCTTTCCTAGCTTGATACTGAAAATCAGATGATCGGTTGGAAAGCATATGTAACAAGGAACTCCAGCAATCAGAGAATCACCCAAAAACCCATTGACCGATAAATATCCAGCATGGAATAGACATGAATTGAAGAAAGAAAGCAGAGGACAGAGTGGAGATGTGATCTGCCCCTGATCACCTGTTCCCCACAAGTAACTCAAAGGGAAAGTAATAAACACACAAGTTTGAATAGAGATGAAACAAACATTGGTGCAGAATAAAATGGGTCTATTTCATTTCGTTGGTTCTCGTCAGCTGTGTACAATCCATGATATTTGATGAAACCACTAGTAATACAATTTTAGCATATATCTTGTCTATCCTCATGAGTTAGTCCTTCGGTGAGGATTGTTGTAAGGAAACCATACTGAAACAAAACACAAGAATGATAATGTTATCTCAAATTATCAGTATGCATATGTATATGAGCTAAGTTTCTCCTAAAATATGAGAATGTTGACAAGAGGTGGGTAGTGATAATTGCGTGATCAAAGAAAAGAAAATATACTGACTAGAACTCATAAGATTGAAAACACCAAAATTAGGTGTATACGAAGTCGAACGAAAAGCTGATGATTAATACAGTGAGTAGAATTCGAAGCATTAAAAATTAAGTTTAATATGAAAGTCAGAAGAGAATTAGGGGGAGGGGGATTAGAACAAGATGAAATCAGAGTTCTTGAAGTGGTTTGTTTGGTACACGTCCAAAGAATCTGTCTTAGACCTCTCTTTCTGTCCCCACAGTTACATGTAAATTGAAATACGCTTTCTTACAATAAAGACACTATGATGACTAGTATATATTGTGTTTTAAAATCCCGAGTTATCTACTTCTACTGTTCACATTCAGTCGTATTTATCACTGTGATTAGAACTCACTCAACCAGTACAGGTTTCTCATGCATCAAGCCATAAGTCACATTCATTGTGTGTTACAGCCGACGATATTTACTCAGGCGGAAGTAGATGGAATGGGATTCGAGCTCGAGACCTGAGTGGATGAAAGTCTAGTTAGTGTTTAAGAGCTGTTTAAGAGTGACTGCAAGACACACGCAGATCCCAACCATCATATTCAGTCTTTTTCTAATGCTCACTTGTTATCTGTTCAGTGAAACAGTTATTTAGGACGTACAAAGATTGAGAAGCCTATTGTCCTGTCGAGTTGTAGAATTTGCATGATTTTCGTGAAGTTGGTAAATACTTCATAAGTTCTGGTGAATGTTGTTAATTTTACAATGACTACCTTCTTCAGATACGCCACATCGACCGTCAATTCGTTCCACTGAATGACTTCCATCTATTTTCAAATAACACTGTAGAAATGGTGCTTTTCGCATCAGAATTCATTGGGGTCAACTCATTCGTCCATAATCATTTCTTCAATTTGAATTGTTACTCAACTCATCATAAGGAAAGTGTACGACTGTCTGTGTATTTTTCTTCCAATGAAAATTATTGATATACTGAAATAACAAAGATCGATAATATTCATCGTGACTGATATCTGCTACCTCGACGTAGTAGGCGGGCTTCTGTATTTCAATGACCCAACGAACTACACTGACTGGAATTAGTGTCCCCATAAGTTTTACCGCATTGGAAATGTCGTTTGGGTGATAGTTAAACTAAAAACAGTTACTATCATCGTGTAATTGGTTTTCACAATGTCAGGGGTCTGTGGATGAAGTCGTACTGTGGTGAGAGCAAGCTGCTAGCCGATTGGTAGACATTGATCTACGCTGACTGGTAGAAATTAATCTAGGCTGATTCAACAACCGATCACAGCTGACCTAGACGTGGACAAATATGATT